AGCAGGACTGTGCTTTGTCTTGTCTGGTTTGATATATCATGATTTACAGAATCACAGAATCGTCAGAGTTGGAAAGGACCTCTAGAGATCTAGTCCAACCCCCATTATTTAAAAAAATGTCTTTGTGGTCTACTACTATGGTTTGTGAAAGTTTTTTAAAATTGCCTGCTTGAAGAGCACGAAATGTCAGAGGCCAGTGGACACTGACCTTTGAAAAATACTGTGAGTGCATGGGGCTAGACCCACAGTCAGGGTGAAAAAGCAAAACAAATCATCCTGATGTCAGAGGTGTTATTCTGATTTATATCAACATTACACCTGTGACTCTATAGGCATTCCCTATATACTGTTCATCTGCTTACCTATAATATACAGGAAAAAAAGTATTAGCAAATACTTTAAAGGTGAGACAGAAAACCCTACTTAGTTTAGGGGCAGAGTCCTCTTTGATTTCTATGGATGGGAATTAAGAAAAATTCTATCATCATCTTCACTGAATTGTTGCAGATCAGCTGGAGGGGAGAAGGGGAGAGGGAGAGCGGGGCAGGAATTAACTGTATCATAGCTAAATTTTAGCTTCAACTGTTCAGGATTTATATCAGTGTCACTGTGCAATTGTCAGTAAATTACTCTGGATTTATATTTCCCAAAGCAGATTTGGCTTATTAATCCCTGCCTTAATTGCTTGTACAACATGTTTTAATCATAGTTTCTTGAGAGATGCACAACCTAGTTAAACAATGGGGAAGGTAAATACCTACAACAATAAACTTTTGACTATGACAAATACATGTATATAACATTCAAAGTTCCTATTCCAGTTCAGACTGATCTTACAGCTTCCTTGTGTTTTATAGCTGCATAAAGGAACCATTAAGGTCATTCAGTAAAGTCTCATACATGTCCCTAACAGATTAGGTTTCTTCATATATTTTATATGACTGTAAAATAATAAATAAAGAGGCGTATTAAACCACAATAAATGACATCAAAGTAAAGTTACAGTTCTGATTTAAGCCCTTGTCAACTCAGGAAGTTCTAAGTGAAGTTCCTGCCCTGCACGGGAGACAGTGCTAATCTCCCTGGAACAATAGCAACAGGCATGTTGATTTCAATTGCAGGGTAATCAGACTGTTCCCTTTGCCTAACTGTGCTCAAGTACGGCTGCACAGACAGTGTCTTGTATGGAAATGTTGTACCTGTGTGTCTGATGTTCTGAGTTTAGCAAGAGTTTGCTTTGTGATGATGAATATTAGGTTTTCCCAGCTTATGTGCCTCTGGGAGGAAAAAGCTGCCCATAAAACTGTAACAAGTTTAACAGCTTTGAGTGATTCACTCAGACTCCAAATCTCACCACACGTGAATGACAAAGAAGGTGTGTGCACTGAATGCAGTTTGGATCCGACACTGCATGAGACCTGGGTGCCTGGCTCACATTTTCAGTCTCTGTTTCCCCATTCCTCACTGTGAGGCTCCTACAAGGGCATTCAGACACTGCCACTTGTGAAACTTGGCAGAGGGCTCTGCCAGTCCTGACACCGGTGGCTACGTCAATTTGACTACAAAGCAACTCCCCGACCCCCTTGGCTGGAGGCCTGGAATGACTTAGGTGCCTCCAGCTGGGCTTGTCCCACTTGGCAGCAGCCTTGCCCCTTGCTAGACCCCCAGGCCAGAGCTATATTGTCAGAGTGGAGGTCTGTGCCAGCAGAATGAGGCATTTCACTACATGATCCCAGAGTGTAAGGCACTGGATAGGAGACAAAGGCAACAAAAGAAATATAGTATCTCAGTAAAATACAGCAGAATGGAGCAAAATACCCACCGGAAGAAGAGGAAGTAATGCAGAGCCAGAAGCTGTAAGGAACAAATTGTCAGGGAATTTAAACACTGTGTCTGTGTGTGAGTTCAGTTCCCCACTACCTTTGTATCCATTTTCACTTTCTCTGGTAAAGGGAACATATCCATATCCTTTTCAGTATTGTTCTTTGTTAAGCAAAATAGCCAAAGGAAGAAAATTAGGCTTTATAAAATTATTTTCCAGGTGAAAATCTGTTTCATTTTTTGTTTTGTTTTGTTTTGTTTTTTTCCTATAAATGAAAGCACGGTGGTATGGGAATGTAAAATACTTTTAGTCTAATAAGATGAATAAAAGTGAATGCAAGGTTTGCAAAGTTCTCTGTAGGCAGGAAAGTACTACTTGGATTGGTTATGACAATATCTTGAAGAAAAGCAGCAATGGAATCACCATAGTGAATCATGATAAATTCTTCCACCTAACAATCCTGTATATTATAGTGAGCAGCTTATTATTAGAAAAAAATCTCTTGTATATAAAAAGCTAAACACTGGTTTATGCCCTAAAACTTGAGTTTATATACATACATAGAGCAGAAAGCGAAAGTGATTTCATGTGGTACAGAATGATTGAGGTAGAAATTCAAAGAGAAAATTAGGTGCATCATGCAGGAGTTACTACAGTCCTCAAAACATCATTCATTTATCTTGCCTACCCCTTGAGAGGATTTATCTTCATTCATATGTCAATAAACGGTAAAAGGTTTCCCTGAGAGCTGTAGGTTCTGCCTTTGGCCTTGTACAGAAGTACCTCTATCTTAAAATCCAAGCAGCTAAGCCCCTACATCACATCTGAGACCTCCTAGCATAGCCTGTAAGGTCTTTCTCTGCCTGTCCTGAAAGAGAACTTCTTTAGATAGCTACTTTTTGAAGCTTTTACAGCGTAACTGTTGGATCTGCTTCTGCAAACAGCCCTGTGACAGCATCATTGCCAATATTCTCCAAAGCATGGTGAAATAAAAATGGTTTGTGCCCTGATCTGGCACTGCCCTGTGCCCAAACGTGGGGCACAATCTAGTTTGTTTCTCTGTTTGAAGGAATTTAGATATGTATCCCTCACCAAAGCCAAAACAGACACTACAGTCTTTCCTGGCATACAAGGGCAGAAGGACATCCAACTGAAGCCATTCTACTTTGCTTACAGGAGTTAAAGGTTCATTTGGCCACCTGGAAGAGACAGTAGTTCACTGGGCATTCCTGAGTGAGAAAAAGGTACATAATATATGTTTACATTTCCTCTAAACCTGACTGAGGAGGTTCTGAGGTTTTGATCCTCAGCTCCATGCTGACAGTTTATTGAATGAAAGTGGCTAAAACCATTTGCATCCTACTACAGCACTGCAGCCAAATCACCAACCAGACTGCAAATTCTGCTGCACTAAACTCCTACTTGTAAAACAAGTTGAGAAGTTATTAGACTGTCACATTCAGTGTGTGAATTAAAGTCAGAGAGGTTCAGTGAG